TTATTTATACAATAATTGTTACATGGCATGGCATTGGATGCTAAACCACATCAAATAGATGTAGTCTATTTTAATTTATTAGGTTCTCATCTATTTATTTTTTTATGTTAGGTAACTTTATTAGTACCAACAAAGGCTTGAAGTTTTAAATAGAAAATTTTATTTGACTTGACATTCTTATCAAATCAAGTCTTATGCATGTTTTTAAGAAAGAAAGCTATTTCTTATAAGATTTTGCTTGAATATTGTAATTTAGCTATTGAATAAAATTTTTGATTTTTTTTATATACTTTTTGTATTGGATACATTTTTTGTAGCATAAGAAATAGCTTGATTAAGTTGTGTTTAGATACTTCATATTTTCTTAAGAATATCTTTGTTATGCATTCTTATTTGGATTTTAATTGCATATTTGATAATGGTTTTTGATACTTGATTTTTTTGATATATCAAAAAAAATTATATAAATTTTTTATAAATTTTTACTATAAATACAAAAATTATCAAACTACTTTTTGAAATTCTTAAAATTTCAAAAAAAAAACCATTTCTTTCAATTATAATTATACTATAAGGATTTTTTATTATTTATTTTTTTAAGTTTTTTTACTCACCTTAATTCATATAAATTCATAATTTAACGAAATATTCTTCTTGTAATTTTTTATTTTTAATTATTATTTTGATTAATTCTTAATTTAAACTATAGTGATAAATCAATTAAATATATATATTTATAAAACTAGATTTTATGCCAATATTATTTAGTATTATAATTTTCAAAATTTGATGTAATTTTGGTTGTGTTAGTGCATTTATCACAAGTTGTATAATTATTTTATGTTCTTGCAATGGTCGTAGAAAATTTTATTTATTTACAAAAAGAATTGTTTTAATATTTTTATTACTCATTTGAATCTCTTTATTTTTTAGAGGATTTTGTATATATTTTATTAAAGTGATTATTTTTAGCATCAATGAATTTGGTTATTGTACCTAGAAGTTGTTGATAAATATCAGTTGCCATTTGTTTTGAGAAGGTTTTTTATTCCATCCCATAGTTGATTCATTGACATGTATCTTTTCTTCTTTTTTTATTTGTTTTTTTTTATTGTTGTGGTTTAATTTTTAAATTATTTATTCTTATATCAACTAATAAGATGAATCCATTCATTTTTGTATGTCATCTTTTATTTCTAGCTTTGTTAGAGACCATTGCATCATGTTGTTTGTTATATCCATTCGTATTTATACTTGATACTTTGCTAAATAATATTCTTAAAAACAAATTGTATTTTCATATTGTTATCATTTTTATTTTTTCTTATTATATGTAAACTTGTGTAATAGAATTTACATTAAAATGGAAATTGGTGGTATTAATTTATTTATTTTTTGTGCATTATTAGGATGGTAAATATGAAATCTATCTTCTACAAAATCTTAGCTTTTATTTCTATACATAACCAAGACTATTAAACTTTTTTATTTTTTTTATCTTCTCTCAATACTTTGCCAAACTTAATTGCTATGCACATGAAAATTGGCTTAAATTCAGTTGGAGTACATTTTAACATAATCTAAGTTAAGCTACAAGGTATTTTAAAATTTATATAATATGTTCAAGTTCTATGCTGCTTTTAAATTAAGAATAAGATTCTAAAATTGAATTGTGCAATTGTTTTATGTTGACATCTTTCTTTAAAAAAAAATAAAAAACTTAATTAAAATTAAAAAAGAATCTAAATTTTATTTCAAATGATTCGAAATTTTACCTAAATTATTTAAATAGACCTATAACTCTATTTTCTTCCAAAGATGTACTTTAAAACCTAAATTCTATTTTCTATATTATTATGAAAGTTATTGTTTCTATAATCCTTACATGAATATTAAAGTGGTTTTTTATTATATGTTTTGGAATTTGATTTATGCTCTGATAACTTAGTGTTGCTTGAAAAAAAATTATGTTGATACTAATTTATACCAAATTAATTTAAGTCTCAAAAAATAAATTAAAATTTGATTTTATAATTATAAATAATCATGTAATGATAAAAATAAATAAAGAAATAAATAAGTCAACTTGAAATAAGTAGAATTTTCTTATACATACTTATGAATTTTCAAAATATTAATTTCAAAAATATTAATTTTTTAATTAATTTTAGATGTTGATGTGCAGTAAAAATATATAAAAAAATAATTTATTTCACATTTTTAAAGATTTTATGTAACAAAATCTTAAATCCAAAAAAATCCAAGCTACTAAAAGATTTTAAAGTAATATAAGGCATTTATAGATCACTAAATTATGAATCATTTTATGTATAAATTTTTAAAAATTCACCAACGATGTAGTTTTAAGAAAATTCACAGAAGTAGAAATTTTCTTCACAAACATTTTTGACCTATAGAGAGTGTAAAACATGTATTGAAAAAATAGATTAGATAAACTTTTTATGAGCAATATAAAAATTGAATGCAACCTAGTATCTGAAAAATTTTCAAAAAATATATACATACATAAAAAATTAAAATTTTAAATATGTTATTTGACAGATTTAAGAAATCACGTTTGAAAAAAATTAAGTGCAATGCATCATCTTAGATATTTAGAGAGCTACTTCTTACATATGTAAAAATAATTTTAATTTTATTGTTCTTATTGCAATATTTAAACACTATTCTGGACTTTCATGTTCTAAATTCTTAAAAACATTTATACCCATGCCATGTAATTTATATTCACAAGTAGAATATTTTAAACATATTGTATCAAATCATTCTTTAAAAAAAATTGATGAAAGAATCTATTTAAATGATTAAAAAGCACCAAAGCTCAAAAGAGTTTGTTGAGGCATAATTCAAGTAACCAGATTTTATTCCCAAAACTAACCAAGGCAACAAAATAACTAAACATTATATCATAAATTTTAGCAATACAAGAAGCTAAATTTTCAACACGTAGTTAAAAAAAATAGTACCAAACCATTTATTTATTTATTTATTTATTTATTTATTTATTTTTGATAAATTCATTGTGTTCAGTTATTGCAATTATCTTCCACAACAAAACAACATTTCTTTAATCTCTTTTGATTTAAATGTGATAAAACAATGGTTCAAAATATTAACTAGGACTTCTACTGCAAAGTGTACTTGGCTAATTTCTAAGAGGTAACAACATGAATCTTTGCTAGATGCTTTTAATTATAAATAAATAAATAAATGATTACTCATTTACTTGTTTTATTAAAAGCAGAGAGTGGCCACCCAACAATCCCTTCGACCGTCAAAGCTGCCAAAGCACTGGTGCTTGTTGGTGGGGAGTTGGTGCCTCTTTGCAGCAAATTCATAATGCCCATGGTCAGGGCATTCTGCGACTCTGAACCTGCCATTTTTATTCAATAGAATGGACCATTATTTGTACGCCTCACCAGATTTCATGACTTGTAGAAATGGGTCAGACTGAGGAAAGCTTTTCACACCCTGCATTGGATTGTTCTCATGGATTTGTGATGGTGTGTTTTTAAAGTGTGTATAAATATTAGACTGCGTGTAGTGAATTTGAAAAGAGGTGATAAAATGATGTAGCTATGGTTTTCTTAACCAGCCCTGTCTTTTGTTTTTTCTCATTCTATTTTTTGAAATAAACTTTTCAAGAGTATTTTAGTTTCAGGATTTGGCGTTTTTTCCAGGTTCTAATGCGTTGGCTAGAAAAGATATGATATGAGTTCTTCATTTAACTTTGTGAACACTATATGAATCCCATTCACTCACGTGGTCTTAACTTAATATTTTAAATAAAAATGACTGTGGACATTCGTAATTATAAAACTCAAAAGCAAATTGTTAGTAAGAACCACAAGTTGACTGTGTGAGGTGACGATGCTGATGAAATTGAACACGAAAGAATATGGGTAAATTTGATTTTTTTACTTTATTTTATTCGCTCCTTTGTTCCTTTGTCTGAATTCTTTACAAAGTCCCGTGCACTTTTATTCGCATAGTTTTTTTCAAAAAAAAAGTGTAATCTAGTGAGTGCCGTCGTGGACTAGCAAAATGCATGACGCCTCAACTATGTGAGCCAAAGCGACCCCATACATTCCTAATCACAATAGTAAGCAATAAAACACTTCCACCCATGCAACTGTTAAGCTAAGCAACGACCACAACCAAATAAATAAATATATATATATATATATATATGTACACAAATCCTTATAGTTCTTGTCCATACAAGTTGAATAACAACGCACACTTTTGTGGAAGTTTGGAATCAAGTAAAGTCACATGGGGTCACCGGTTTTCACTAATGAAAGTTTCACCCCAAACGAAGACTTGAACACTGCCACGATCCCGTTCACACAGCCACAACGTGAACAGTTTCATCCACATTCACACTGCGAACAAGGGAGACGGAGTGGCGACGCGCAATGGCGAAGGGTGGCGACAGGGCTTGACGCTGTGGCTATAGCTGTGGCTGTGGATATGACGCGACACACAGAGAATTAGCGAGCGGACTGTGCCACGGTTGGAACTTGCTTCTCAGTGTTTACTGCGGGGTAAGGGAGCAAGGGAGCAGTAAATCCTGGTGCCGATGCGGATGGGCTGTGCGTGAGTGCGTGCGTCGCCTCCTGATTTCGTGCTACGTGGCCACATGCACAACGCACTGGGTTCGTCGAGATTCCACGAGAACAGTCCGCAGAGGGCCAACTCATTCACCCAACTCGAAATCTGTTCCAGAGGCCCATAATTGAGAGATGAGGGTGAGGGTGGGGAAAAAGTGAATCGGGATTTCTCACCGTTCGGCAGCCCCCTTCTTCCACCTTCTTCGTGTCTATTTGCAGCGAAAGATCTCACTTGGCAACAAGGTTGACGTCTTGCAATTGGGAGCAACAGGGCACCTGGCTGCTTTTGCAACAAGCGCGGCAGTTTCCTCGTCTTGTGCGGGGCGCTGCTTGAATGCCACCGCAGCAACGCAGCCGAGGTGGAAGCCTGCTGGTTCATTAAGGTATGTTTGCAGACACTTGATGCAGTTGAGTGAGTGTCGTGTACGTGTGTGTCCGCGCGCGCTCTTGACTATTGAAGCTGGTGGGTGGTGTACCTGTGAATCGATCTGCTCCTTGGTCGAACAGACCTGGTGGCTTGTATCGTTGGTTTGTCAAGGTGCGCGTTTTTTGAGTTTCGGTGGCTTGGGTTGGGGTGTTGTGCGCTCTCGAGGTGGTGGAGCGCAAGTTTCCCAGCGTTGCAGTTGTGTTTTTTGAGGATATTTTGTTGCTGGGGTAGCTTTTGTGTCGCTGACGCTGCTCTGTGGTCGGTGCAGTGGGTTGGGTCTAGGGATAACGCAGAGACTCTAAGTTTTTGGAGCTCATCGTGATGCCCGTCACGGCGTTCAAGATGGCGATCCCGAGGTCGTTTGTGTTGATGGTGCTCCTTGGGTTGGTTATTGGCATCGGGACATTGGTTAGGGCAGATGAGCTCATGCCTCCTTCTTATGAGTATGGCAACGAAATTATGGCACTGAAATCCAAGCTCTCTCTTCTCGAGGAAGGATTGAAGACCAAGGAAGTGAGTTTATCGGAAAAGGAGTCGAAGATCAGCGTTTTGGAGCAGGAGTTGGAGGCACTGCGAACGCATAAAGGCGAATCCCAGGATGCTGCTCTTGCACAACTGCAGATAGAGTCAGCTGAGGCGAAGGTGCGTGAATTGGAGGACCAGGTTCAAGCTCTTCAGGAGGAGTCTCGCAAGCTCAGAGAGGAGGCAGAGGCACATGCCGGGGCGGCGAAGTCTCACGAAGAGACTGCAAACTTGCACCTGACTGAGAAGGAGAAGACCATCAAGGCTTTGGAAGACCAGAAGATTCGTCTCCAGAAAGCTGAACGCGGTCTTCAGATCGCTGAGGCTGCCATGTTGAAGGCCAAAGCTGAAGCAGAGGAGAAAGCCAAGCGACTTGATGAGGTTCATCAGGCATGGTTACCCCCATGGGCTGCTACGCACGCCGAGCTTCTCCAGAAAACTGCCTCTTCTCGTTGGTCTACTCACGCAGAGCCTGTGGTGAAGAACCTTCAGAAATCGGCGTCCACCAACCACGCCAAGTACGTCAAGCCCCATTTTGACACTATCCAGGCCAAGGTGAACCCCCTCATTAGAGAGAAATGGCAGAAGCTCACTGAGGCTGTCGCTCCTCACCTCGAAACTGTGAAGAACATGGGCGTTAAATCTCGCGAGTATATTGCTCCGCATGTGGAGACCGTCCAGAAGACCGTGAGTCCCTATGCCGAGGTATGAGCCTTCACCAATACTCCCATTTGATCGTCTCCTGTCCTGTTTTTCCCGAGTCAGTTTAGGGTTTCTAACCATGTATTGACGTGGGTTTCTCAAACAGGCTGCCAAGGAGAAGAGCAAGCCCTATGTCGACAAGGCATCGACGTTTGCTGCTCCTCATTTGGAGAGATTAAACACCCTGGCAGGTCCTCACTACCGCCGCGCCGTTACTACCGCCTACAACTACCACGAAGGAGTGCAGAGCTACTTGAAGGAGTCTTTGGGGAAGTATGAGTTTCTGTCTCATCTATTGACCAAGGAGTCTATATGGTTTCTGGCTGCCGCAGTTTTTGCTCTTCCCATCATGTTGATTTTCATGCTCTTCCGAAGGTTGTTCAGCTCCCAGCCGGTCGTGCCATCAAAAAGGCACCGCAGCACTCAAAGTGGCACCTCTTCCACTATCAAGAAGACCCGGAGGCCTAAGCAAACAGACAGGATGGTTGAGAAGTAAACACTCCTTTGCACCTCGAATATCCATGTTGTGTTTATGTACACACGTGCTTTCAGTCCGTCACTCGCTGCCCGTTCGCCATCGTCTTTGGCATCCGAAACTAGACAATCGAAGACAGGGAGCTAGTCGAAGCTGAGAATGTCACTGGAGCAGAGACGCACCAGATTAAGGAATCTGGAAATGGACAACTTCGTTACATCCCTGCTGCACTTTGACAAAAACGTAAGGAGACTCTGAAGATACCAACTTCGACTGTTTGGTTGTATTCCTGTTTCTAATGGAGGCTCTATTTGCAAATATTTGAAGGTCGTATTCCTTTGGCTACAGGGAAGAGAGTACTGTTAGCATCTAGTTTTGTAGGGGTTCAGTGGACACTCACAGAATCACACTAGGTTATTGTTCCAGATATTCCATAGACGCCTGTTTTGTTGTAAATCCTGGAATAGATACTTGTTTGGTGTAGAATTACAGCTGACTGCAATTGAGAGTAGCTCTTTTGTTGCTGTTTCTTTTTCCTTTGAAAATAATTTTAATTTGTCACCTATGTAACCACAAGTTGTAAAGAGATGATATTCAATGAAGTTGCTTGTCATATTTCCTGGTTAATGAATACTAGGCAGTACTGTTCAAGGCTTGTTTAGGGTTTCTGATCAACTTGGGTAGCTGCTACAATATTTTTGTCACTTGGTTGTAAGGAAAATTGAGAGACGGAATTGAAAATGGGTTTATTTTATACCATTTGCTGCGAAGTTGTGAACAGAAGATAATGTCAGCTGGGGAGTTGTAGATTATATGTGATCGCTGAAGGGTTCTTCCTACAAACTAGTTTTCGCTGTAGCAACACTCATCTTTCTTCGCCAGTGATACTTTCATCGTTACGTTTTTTTTGTGTATGTCGTGAATTGGATCTCCTGTCTAATAAATTCGTGTATCAGGGAAAGTCACGCCAAAAAATAGGTCGAATTTCCACCAGGCTTTACGGATGAATCCTCGAGGGGAAGTCTTAAGCAAAGGTGCCACTTCAGGCACGCAAGCGTTGTCCTCCTCTGCTGTGTATCAAGTGTTGATTGTGCTTCCCACTTTCGCAGGTTAAAAATTCTTCTCCAACAACTGCATAAGAGAAGTCAAACCCTGCAATCAAAGGTATGAGGTATGAACGCCATGTCTACTTGCGTTGAATCGACCGAGAATCTTGCAGTAATGGATTTAGAAGTTCCTGAGATGCTGATATGATAGTGAGCTATTGCAGGGGTGATTGTAGAATTTGTACTTATTCTATCGATTATGTGTTTGTTTCTCCTCGTCGAAGCTTTACTACTCATTGTGAATGGCTCAAGAAGGATTTTGAACGAGGGCAGTACACTGGGGTGCTGAAGAACTTACAGAGCATGTCATGCCAGGAGTCAAGCCATCTTCCAATAAGCTAACAAACTGGGTAAAGGACCTCATCGTTGAAGCACTTAGAAGTCAAGTAGAAAGTGAGCTACATGTAGCTGATGCTTGAAGCCAATGGACGATGTCTTTTTTAAGAAAACAATTGATTCTCCAATTGTTAATAAAAGAAAAGTGTTTGTTGTTACACTCTTATTAATACAAACTTTAAAATTGGCCTATTTTTGCAATGAATTCCAAAGTTTCTTGTTGTAATAATATCAATGTTGAAGATGAGCAAGATCTTGCATAGTTGTTACCACATAGAATTAAACCATAATAAGTTGTTAATATTCGAAAGATATCAAAGTATTAAAATAAGTTACTATGGTGGTAGCTAGGATTTTAGGTAGCAACTAGGTTAAGAAGAATCTAGGCTTTAGTTGGATATAACAAAGAAGGATAAATATGATTGTAGATGAAGACTCCAACTATAAGTAAAGAATGTTGGAAGTGGGAGTCATCTTACTTCATACTTTTCTTGGGTGCAACCTTGATGATACTAAGTGTTGTAGCTTTTAGTTTTTCTTTCTTTAATGGATTATGGACCCACTTGCATTTCCTTGTAAGTTTTTTTGAAATTATATGAAGTCTTTGTTGTTGTTTGGAATAGATCATATTGTTATTGTTGATGTTAAGGTTTTGAAACTCCTAACTTTTAAATTCAGATCTAGATCTAGATCTTTCTTTGCTCTTACTTATTGTTAAGTGCATCTTAGATTTAAGATTTGATTTGCACCTTATAGCATTATTATAAAACACTAGTGTTGTATTTTCTTATTGAATTAGATCTTTGGTGGACTAACTTTGAAGTTTCATGTATTAAAAGAACTTAAGGTGCTTAAAAGACCTCTTATGATGCTTAGAAGTGATTTGTGAATACAAAAGTGATATAAGAGTGGCAAATCTTGTTTAAGATGTTTATGTAATTCATTGGACTTGTGAGAGGTTGTAGAAGTGAAGTAGAAAGTGTTTCGAGAATAAAAACACTAGTTTATTTGTAAAGATGGCATTATGAGATTCTAAGGCAACAACACCTTCTTATTAATTTTAAGAGCTTTACAACTATTTCTCTTGATCTTTTTTGATACATTTCTCCTTTACATATGGCTTTAAGTGAGGGTGAAGGCTTAAGAGCAATTGAAAATTTTAGAGGTGAAAATTACTACCATTAGGAGATCAAAATGGAGCTTTTGTTAGCTTCTTTGGATCTTTGAAATATTGTAGATGAAAGTGAAGAACCTCCAAGCATGCATGTTGATATAAAAGAGAAGAAGGACTATAAATACAATGAAAAGAAGGCCTTTGGATTGATTGCATGCAATATTGATGAAGCAAACTTCTCCCACATTATCTCTTGCAAAAGACCAGCAAAAATATAAAACTCTTTGCAACATGTATGAGAGCAAGAACTTATTTAACATCATCTATATAAGAAAGAAGCTCTTTACTTATAAGATGGAAGAGAGTGAAGACTTCATGGCACACATCAATAAAGTGAAGGTACTTGCAAATAAACTTGCAATTGTAGACAAGCTCTTAGAAGATGCAAATATTGTTATGACTCTATTTATGAAATTGCCAAAATCCTATAACTACCTCATTGTGGCTTTAGAATCCATCAAGATGAAAGAACTTACAATAGACTACGAGACAACAAGACTTAATCATAAAGTGACCAAGAGGAAAGATAAAGACCCTCAAAGTGAATATTCAGCACTTTACTCACAACAAGGCAAAGGCAACTATTCAAACCAATGAAGTAATGTCAAAACTTGCTTCATTTGTGGCAAAGTAGGACATTTTTCTCGAAATTGCTACAAAGGCAAAAAGATGAAAAATGAAAATGTAAATAATATGTAAGATGAATTTAGATGATAAGATTATGCATTCGCAATAGCAAATGGTACTTCAATAGCTCCCATATGAAGATTGATTATGGACTTAGGTTGTTCCAAGCACATGACACCTTATAAGTGTTCACTTGTCACTTATGAGGCTATTCTACCATCAAATGGAATTTTGGCAAATAGTGACACATGTGAAGATATTGAAATTGGTTCTATTATGATAGAGATGGTTGTGAATGGACAAACCAATAGTATTAGATTCAAAAACGTCCTCTACATATCCAAAATAAAGCAAAATCTACTTTTAGTGAGTAAATTTATAATGGAAGGTTTTATGGTTCAATTCAATAAGAATAGATGTTTTTTGAAAACATTGTATAGAAACATGCTTGCCAAAGGCTTTAGAGAAAGAAATTTGTACTATGTCAAGTATAAGAAGGTCAATGGAGTAGAGATAGCTATATTTGCTAAGTTTACATCAAACTAAGACAAGTTGAATATATAGCATCAATGCCATGGCCATTTGAATGTGAAGAATATGACAGAGCTTAAGTGTCATGGACACAAAAATACAGACTCGAGATCTAACAAGAAGTTCAAGAAAAACTGGCAAGAACTAGATTAATCAGATGAATACAAAAACAACACCAGAGAGGTGAGCTAGAGCTCCAAGAGATGTGTTGTCGAGAGTGAAGAACTCTTCAACCTCGATTCCAATATATACTCCTATTTAGAAAGCTTCTCAAGCAACTTCTACCAACTATGAAGCTTCTAGAAGGTTCCAGAGACTTGTTTCTAGAAGATTCTAGAAACTTGTCTCTAGAAGGTTTTAAGGACTATGTCCCTAACATCTTCTATGAACTAAGAAGCTTCTAAAAGGTTCCAGAGACTTGCTTCTAGAAGGTTCTAGAAACTTGTCTCTAAAAGGTTCTAAGAACTATGTTCCTAACATCACCCCCTCCTTTAGCTTCGAGGTCTCTAAGAAGCAATGTTGTTGTTAATCAGTACCAACGCAAGAAAATGAAGATCTGTCGCATAACGTCTGCTATGAACTCCAACTGTTGTTCACGAGGCAAGTGGTTCATCGACCCTTGAAGCCAACGGTAGTAGCCCACTCCTTCAACTTCTGACCAAGCATGAACTTCCGTGTCCTCATTATGAAATTGTCCTGCAAACACGCCTTCAAGCTGATCATCGTAAGCAGGCTCGGACTCAAATACAATCACCAATGATCGGTTACTCGGTATCCTCCCTCGTCGTCCTGATGTAGGCAGTTCTTCATGTCGGGGTCACCTTCATGAGCTAGTCAATTGAGATAATCTGACTAGCATAGTATCTATCTCTTGGCTATCCATATCAAAAGACCAAACTATGGCTATTGAAAAAATTCTACTTTATCTTGGTAAAAATAACTACATCAACTACGAATTTTGGTGGTGCTCTCCCCCTTTCTTATATTCTTAGGTGAGCAAGCTTTAGAAGGAAGCTATCATCGAACCGGCTTAGATTTATGAGGATGTTGTTGATGAAACTCGTGTACCTTTTGCGGCGCATTGGCAAGATTTTTAGCTGGCTCCCATGTTCGCTCATTAATGTCGTAGCCGCACCAATGAACAAGATGCTCCAACTTGCCCCACCTTCGCCATGAATCCAGCACCTTTTCAACCTCGTATTCCTCGTGGTTCTCAATCTCAATACTAGGTGGCGGACATTGCACTCTTCCAAAAAAAGACGACTCTCGATAAGGCTCTAACAGAGAAACATGAAAGACTGGATGTACCTTCATAGAAGCCGGTAATTCCAAACAGTACGCCACTGGATTGATTTGCTTCTGATGATAAATGGTCCCAATCTTTGATAGTCCAACTTATCACATGGTAGCTTGCTCTTGATATTCTGTTCAAGAAGCCATGCTTTATCTCCAATTTTGAAATTAGGTGCTTGATTCCGAAATCTATCTGCAGACGCCTTGTAGGATTCTTGAGCGGATTGTAATTCAAGCTTCAATGTATTTTGAAGCTCTGATAGTTGTTTAGCAAATCCTTCAACTGCTGGATTGTTATTTATTGACGGACTCAATAAATCAAGCTTCGGATGATAGCCATAGTTGGAAAAGAATGGTGTGTATTGAATCAACGCATGGAGGGTGTTGTTATATGCAAACTCGGCTAGCGACAGATATGTGGTCCAATCGTCTTGCTGATCGTTGATGCTGCATCGTAAGTATTGTTCCAAGACTTAGTTCACCCGTTCCGTTTGGCCGTCAGTTTGAGGATGAAAAGCAGAAGAAAGCTTGATATCCACCTTCAGTATCTCAAAGAGAGA